GTTAAAATTGCATTTATTCAACTTAAAAATTCTCTACTTATTAGCAGTTGTTTACGGTAAGTCTCTCAAGGTGGGTAGTCTTATGTTTGTTATCACCAGACTCTTTGTGACTTGTGTGTTAGTTGAAAGAGATATCGATATCACCCAACCAGCTCCGGATGAGGTATGGATTGGCACCACTCATAACGGATATTGGCAAAATATTGAAATAGAACCACACCCTCTTTATTGCTCTCATTGTAGTATGTTTGGCCACAATTATATTATTTGCTATCAATTGCATCCTCATCTAAGGTCGGATATCGCTCGGATATCGCTAAAGATCAAGATCAACCACCTACCATCCCTATTGAGAAGGTGCAAACCGATCCTTTTTCCAACACCCCTGTTCCTAATGAAGAACACCATACTACAGGTACAGATCGAAATGTGCTTATACCACTCACTGTTATTAAAGAAGACTCACTTACATGTCAAGACACACGAGAATGCTTCTTCGATCCAATAAAAGATCAGCTGGTACAACAACCTACACATATCTGGCACACCTTAGGTCAACCACTGATCAGGTGAGTCAATCTTTGGATGAGGAATGACAGGTCTATTCCAGGAAGAAGAAGAAGAATGGAGGCCGACTGGCCGACTCCCGACTCGAGCTCGGGAACTTATTGGATGATATATTGGTTACTACTGACAATGACACTCATCTTACCAATTTATTAGTTGGCTCCTTTCCTAGAACTAGAGGGAGAGGAAAGGCAAAATTGGGCAGCGCTCTAGCTATCTAATACTCCGTACTTTTGCACTTTTTGATTTTTTTTCTTTAGGTCTCTCATGCATTATTCTATGTTTTCTCTTTTTTGGAACCATTTGCATGTGGTACTGATCGTGTGGGCAGGATGCCATGTTTGGGCCCTCCCATACAATCTATTTGTATATATATAAGCTAGGTTTACAACAAATATAATGTTATAGCTAATGTATTTTCAGCATAGGACTTTCAAGCACATCTCCTGATGACGTCATCGGGTAAAGCTTAAAAAGATCAGGAGTTTCACTTTTACAGTCTCAAGGTAGGTAAGTAATTGTAATTTAATAAAGGATAAATTGTTATGGGTATATCATTGTTGTTTGTCTTAAACTCTTAGCTAATTTATAGGTTTGTCAGTTATGCACTTTTCTTTCTTCATGTATATTTCTTTTCGCACTTGATATAAAATCCATCTATTGTTCATAATGAAGTAATTAGTCGTCTTATGTTAACGATACAACTCTCTGCATAATTGATTAAACTTTACAATTACAAGGTTTTCATTTCATGTACTTCACGTTTATGAATTGCATGTAAATTTCTATCATATCACTAGTATGTATGAAGTAGCATTGAGCTTATACATTTATTTGTAGAATCATTTATAACTGGTATGCTTGTATGCAATGATATGTAAATAGGTGAATACTTTTGGATATTGCCTAGTCAAGTCGACGAACTCACAAAATGACGACTCCACAAAAAATTATCGGGTTTCCTTATGTTGGTGTTTGTCTTTCCGATTTTAGGGTGTCTAATAAAATCGACTATATAAATATAAAATTAAACTAAAATTAAATAATGAATAATTGTTAGGTCAAACATTGATAATTGTCAGTGATTGCATAGTCTATTAAATCGACTGAACATGCTCATATTATACTGATTTTGAATTATACAACACTTTTGCTTTATAGAATTAGAAATATATAGTAATTTGTCCATTTTTTTTATTCATACTATATGCCCTAATTTCTTGTCGTTTATTATTTAATAAATAGTGATTATTTACTGTGTTTGATTTGTCAAACTCACCCGTTGATATTTGTGTATAATAGGTTTTACTGGGCCACTTGCAGGAACGTCTCCATAGGAACAGACGTTTTGATATTTCTAATATTTGCGTTAGTTGTATTTTTCTTTTATGTTTTAAATAGTTATTTCCCCTTTATCATTTCAATTTTATTTCAATCAATTTCTTGCTTTCTTTCAATTGTATTAATGAGACTCTTATTTATATGATAAAATTTATCTTTCATTGTTTATTTCTGTTATTACTTGCATAGAAGTTTTCTTTTGATAATACAAAATATGTTTAATTCATTTCATTGCGCCTTGCGTTGTCGTGGTCTACAATCTTCCAAATCTGGGGTATGACACACTCACTCTCCAATCATAGCAACAAACTTTAAGTACGTGGATCAAAGCCATATACCACTGAATAATTTTTTTATAGCTCTCGGATTGTAATCTATGTGCTTCTCTATAAGAATGTTGGCCCCTTCTAATTGTTTCCCCTTTTTTTAGATTTATTCCTACTTTTTAATGCTTGAATAGATATATATATATATGTATATATATACATACATATATGTATATATATATATATATAGATATATATTCAAGAAAAAAATGATAAAAGTTGATAATATAACTCATTTTCTGCTTACAAGGACATGATGCACAAGTGATAATAAATAGATGGAGGTTTGATTTCCTATAAGGAAAGGAGAAGAGAATAAAAGAAAGATTATGAACTCAACTTAAAAAGTGATCCACATACTCAACTTAGATAGAAAAAGAACACTAGCACTTGGAAACAAAAATAATTCTTCATCAAATCAATCCATCAATAAAAAATTGAAATACAAGCAATGAATATCATAAAAAAAAGATTTACGAAGAAAAAAATTTCAAATCAAATCTAATCCTATCCAAAACTAAATTTAACCCCAAATAATTCAAATTTAAACCCAAATTATCCAGCAGGATACTTAATCCTAATTTAATTCAAAATAAACCTAATAAATCTAGAAATCCTAATAAAATTAAAATAAATCTTGAGACATTCTTAAAAAAGCTTAACCTAATTTTCTAGGTTAAATCAGATGTGATCTATGATGCGTTTAACAAATAGAAATCTGCCACCTCTTAGAAACTCTGCTAAGTAATGTTATAATTCTTTGCCGATATATAACATAAACAGCTTATAAAATAAGAAGTAACAACTTCAGTTCATAAAATTGTAAGTTTTTAATTAAATAAAGTTCAAACAATGTATCAATTTCTCAAAAATGTTATGCAGGACAATAGATAATTTTAAAATTTTTCTGGACTTAATTAGTAATGAGTAATGTAGTATTGCAAAATAGTAGCAACCCGGGCAATGAAACTTTAACAAGAGTTTTATACAAATTACAGTAAATTACCTCAAAAAATTAGTTTAATAGATGTCATGCCATTACACAACACACAATTGAACTTTCAAGAATAGACTTGTGAGGTTTACTTCGTAAACTTTGCTTCCATCACCTTTAACACCACAAATCAAATGAACTTTGATGTACTCGTACTGTCAAAATTTGTCCAATGAATTGTGTTTGTTGAAAAGAAAATTTTGATGATAGTCAGTTGAGGTGATAAAGAACAATAGGGAGCACGGGTGCAAAAGAGGCAAAGCAAAAAAATCTTGGGGCACAAACAAGCATGCATGCAAAAGAAGATGCCAAGCGCACAGAAGAGCGCGTGCAAAAGCAAACCAGTGAATGTGCATGTGGGGCACAAGCGAACATGTTAGATGGAGCGCAGGATAGTGATCAGTCTGATTTGGGCGAGCAAGGACTGCAACAGCTACAAGCTTATGTGTTTCATGATTGCAAGTGCTTAACTAGTTGAGGATGGCAAGCATGAAATCAATGAGGTTGGGGGAATGAATTTGCTCTGATAACAAAATATTGTCGCAGCAGGGTAAAAACAAAAATTAAAAAAAAAACACATGTGAGTGGGAATACCAATAAAGAGAGAAGAGAGAAACAAGAAATTAGGAGATAACTTTTTATTACAATTCCATGATAATCCACAACACCTTGATATCCTATTAATAGAAAATAAGAAGAAATTTGGATAATGCAATATAATTAAAACAAATTAATGTTGAAATTTTAAATGATATGGCTGACAAATACAAAAAATTTTCATGGTTTTGTCAAGCAAAACCAAAAAGCCATGATCATTCATATGGGTAATCTGTAGCATCAATATTGATAATAATTATAAGAGCTTTCAACTTCAAATCACACTGTAGTCTCACAAGTTTTATTCTAACTACCAAAATACACTCTCTTATCTAACAATTGAAATCTGTATGCCATTCAATTACTGTTGATTTAATAGTTTACTTTCATGTTGCACAAATCCTGCCGCATGGCCCAAGGAAAAGATTCAAATCAATTAATTTATAAAAGATAGATTGAATATTAAATTATTAACCTAAACTGAGAAATGGAAACACAGTGAAGTCATATCTAACTTTATAACGCTGTAGGAACAACTCAAGGTGATGGAATTTAACTTTATTATCCTAAATCAATTACTTTATAAAGCTGTAGGAACAACTCAAGCTGGAAGTGGGTCAAAATGACACCAAATCCTTACACAACCTTGAACAAGTTACCCCACAAACTAAAAGAAAGTGCCAGTTGCACCCCCTTAAAAGAAAACAATGATATTTATCTTCAAAATTGCCAAAAATAGAATGAGCTCATGAACAACTATGAGGTACACTACCATGTAGTATTCTTTATTATCAAATCTGATTATGAAGAGATTTACAACTAAGAACCCAAAGCTTGTAATACTATTCGGTCTTTTCTTGTCATTTTGCATGTTAGTAAAGCAAACAAATCAGAAATGAAGATTCAAACATCTCCGTATTGTCTCAATGCTGTTCAACGCCCAACATTTGTCTTCTTCACAAAATAAAAGCATTTTTAGTGTAAAAAGAAACTAAGAAAATCCAATGTTAAAATTAACAACTTCCGCCTTTTTTATTTCTAACACAAAGGAGTTCAAGCGTTCAAACCACTGCCATTTATGCTGTAGAGTGATCAGGTGTTTGCAACTAAACCCCACCCCAAAAAATAATAATAATAAACATTAAAGGAAAACAATAAAAATAAAGAAAATTTACCTTTTTAACCCGTACAAAACCTTCTATTCTGCATCCACTTGTTGATGGCGCAGGGCGTTTTACTGCATCAATCTGCAGTTTAGATTTGTCCTCCAATGCCAGTTCATGAGAAATATTTGGAATACTTGCAACCAGAGTTTCCATTGCCTATCACAAAAAAGGATGAAAATCAGTATCTAGTAATAAAGATCTACAAATAAAACATGAGAAAAATAGAAGGAAAAAAAAATTCACAAGGGCAAAATTTTTTTCCAAGAATAATATATCCACACTTTTCAATAGGCTTCCAACAAGCATACCGCGACCAAGCTATCTGCATCCCTCTCCCCATAATAAGATTCATGATCATGATGTCCATGGTCTTCCCTGTATCAAATTCTACTTTATAGCCAATTCATTGAAAGTGGTAAATATAAAGCAAGAACAAGAAAAAATGATGGAAATATTCATATTATATCCGATATATGTTTCTATAGCTTTATAAATATATAATAGACATCCACGTACTTTGATACTTATACTATATACTAAGAAACAGAGACCAATTTAGTATATATAAAAGTAAAACAAGGTTTTCCATATACAACTCAATAGAGACTTCAATACGCATTACTAAGGAAAAGAAGCTAAGAAAAAAAATATTTGCAGTTCATAGAAAACCTGCAGAACATGTTCAAATTACAGTATGGCTCATTCGCTTTTGTAGGCTTGACAAGATATACCGCACTTGTTGTGGGCTATGGGATCCTAGTTGTGCACAAGCAAGAGATAAACCAGGGAGTGAAAATCTATTTCAATGGCCTTAGCTGTTCGATTTCTCACAAACAATTTGTTAAAAGTAATAGATAAAGGGATGATTTTAATTTAGAGAACCCAAGAAGAGTAAAATCACATGTTCCAACTATACTAAATAATTTATACAGTTACAGAATAAAAATACAAAACATCCTCCCTCCCAGATCAGTTGGAGACTAAGTGATAAAGCATTCCAAAAAAAAATAAAAAAGCTATTGCATTGTTGACCTCATTTTTAGTGAGGTCTTAGTCTCGTACTCTTAGAACCTAGGATCTAGCTTTAAGAGTTCTTAATGACCATCCTAGAGGACTAGCAATGGAGCCCACCTCCCGTAGAACTTCAAACTGTTTCTTAACTCATTTTTGTGAAGAACTCGCATGAGTGGTTCCAAACACTCAACTTCTAGTTGCAAGGGCTAAGGACCAACATGTAGAGGGCCCGAAAATAAATTTTTATAGGATCAAACGGCCTTAAGTGAACCCATTTGTGACTCGAATACTCAGAAACGCCACAATTCACACACTCACTGCACCACACACGATTTTGACTTGATTTGACTTGTCAACCGGTGAGTTTGTCTGGACGACCCCGGATGACGAAAAAGACCGCACCGATGTGTCCAGAACGTCGACTTTAGCTAGGAACGACACCCGCATTGTTATGGTTTCGCGCGCGAGCGACTAGAACGGATATCGATGCACATTTTTTTTAATTAGCGGGGCGCGGGCCCGGACTATACCCAGGTTCAACTCAGATTTGATTTGGGCTGGACTCGGGCTGAACAAGGGTTAAATGATTTTGAATTTTAAATTTTTGAATTTCAAATTCGTCATTTAATTTTATCTTAATTGAGAGTTAAAACTTTTCATTTGACCAAACTACCTGAATGGAAGCTTTTAATTCCCCGCCAAGGAAACGGTGGAGGGGGGGGGGGGGGGGGGGGGGGAAGCGATTCGACTTCCTCTTCCTCACGCTCGATCCCATGCCCCTCCTCCTTCACAGACCGAGACCCTCGTCTCTCAGTCTCGACTCCCACTCCTGCTCGCTTTCTCCCCCTCTCTGCCTCACGCACCGAAGCCTCGTCTCCCCGTCTTCTCGAGCTCGCCTTCCTCCTCTTACTCGACCGAAGGCTTTCGCTCGAGACTCGCCTGCCTGGTCTCGCCCGCTCCTCACTCTCGCTCACCCTCGTCGGCTTCCTGCTCGCTCGACGACACCTCTCCATCGCAACCCTCGCCTGCTTCGACCTACCCCCAATCGACTCACCATCTCTCGACCGAAGGTCAGATAGGGCTCTCTCTTTTCTCTCGACAGAAGCTTGACTGCTTGCCCACCTCCCTCTTCCCCGCGATCAAAACAGTCACTTGGCCTCCTCTCCTCTCTACATCGAAGAACACTCGCTTGCCTCCCTGCTTTCTGCACCGAAGATCCCCTCTTTAATTCTTCTTCCCGGCGTGCCCCCTCCTACGGCGAATTTCAGCCAAGTAACCCGGTGCCTCTTTTCTTTTCCCCTTCGCTTTTCTATTCCCCTTCGCATACATGCAAGATAAAAAAAAAGTCTCGTTGTTTCAAACTTCCTGTTATTTTCACTTTCAATCATCATCAAGTTAAGAATATACTGTGACTCTCTATGGCTCATGTGCTTGCTATGCTCAAATGAGATCATTAAGCTGATGCATTCAATCCCTTTTACAAGCAGCTGCGTTTGAACATGACTTTGTATTTTAACATTTGCTTTATACTAATGGTAGCTCAAACTCATACCTGATTGTAGACATATATATATATATATAGCTTTCCACCATAGCATTATATGTGAAGGTTAAATTCAGAATTACGATTCGTTAACTTAGAGGGTGAGATTAACTTCACATGTATCCACCTTTACCGAATGATTGGGAAAGTAGAATTCAGATGTTACTAAGTTTTGCTGTGAAACAAAATATTTATGAATGGGCAGGGAATTTAGTTGCGGAGAATTCACATTTGCTCACTGTTTGTTCATCACCTTCATTTGAAATTATTGTGAAGTATTCAACGAACAAGGTGTTTATATCATAGTTCTTGATTTGGGAAGTATTTACATGCATACCTCTCACAACT